GCTAATTTCAGGCAGATTTGTATGGCCAGCAATGAACAAAGACATGACGGAATGGATTCGTTCATGTATTCAAGTCAACGCTGTAAAATCTCTTGTCACACTCACAGTCCCATTCAACAGTTTAATCTTCCATCAAGGCATTTTGATCACATAGACATAGATCTTGTAGGCCCATTGTCTCCTTCAAATGGTTATAATTATATTCTTACCTGCATCTACCATTTCACACGGTAGCCCGAAGCAATTCCTGTTGAAAATATCTCTGCTGAAACCGTAGCTCAGGCATTCATCTTCTAATGGGTTTCACGATTTGGTATGCCCATTACTATTACTGCTGACCAAGACTGAGAATTTCAATCTCATTTGTTCTCAGCAATCACCTCTCTTCTTGGCATTTGCCATTTCCGAACAACACCTTATCATCCATCCAGAAATGGAATGGTGGGACGATTTCACCAATCTCTGAAACAAGCTAGCATACATTGGACAGAAGTGTTACCTCTTGACTTGCTCGAAGTTCATACATCATTCAAAGAAGGCATTGATAGTGCCTGTGCTGACATGGTCAACGGCACAGACCTTCTTCTACCTGGTGAATTCTTTCATCCAGAATCCACACCAAGCATTGATCCTTCAACATTTATGTGATGCAATGATTAGCATCTCCCCAATTTTGGCATCTGTGCACAATGTATCAAGTTATTTTTTATACATCCTCCACGTCAGACATCTTCCTATGTGTTTGTGCCAATGATGCTGTTAAACCAACTTTGACACCTTCATATGATGGTTCATTCAGAGTTGTGAAACCTGCACCTAAACATTTCACCATCCTGTGCAGTGGAAAAGAATCAGTGACTGGGATAGATCATCTCAAGGCAGCATTTCTTATGAAAGATCCAACAACATTTCCATCAACATTATCAACAGCAGAAGATCTAAATCCTGTCGCTGAACAGCTAAAAACTTCCAGATCTGGATGAATAGTTAGATTTAATCCAAAATATTTGTAACATACCAGTGGTACTTTGGAGTGGTACTGTGTCATTTTTGGTTACACCCAAGAGATGGCACCACCTGTCAGGGAGACAGTTCATAGAGCAAACAGTTCCACGGTAGACAGGTTCTAGCCATGGCGTCATGGATGTTGTATTTATTGACTCTTGCCTCCATCCAAACTTTATGTAATGCCTTTTTTTTTTTTTTTTTGTTAATTGTAATGTTGTGCTTAACCTTCCAGCACGCGCGTATGCGCAAAATTTATGACAAATTCAGTTTTTAATGCACATTTTTTGCATATCGAAGCTGAGATGTCTGAAGGTCATTTCTATTCCTCCTTTCTACCCTTCCCTACATCATGCAATGTGCCAACAGGACGTCATTTCCCTTTTTTTTTAACTGGGCTTTTGTGCTACATGGCAGCTTTTTCATAAAAGTTATGACACACGCCGGGTCGTGTTTTAAAATTTGGAAAATATTTTTTTCCTCAAATATTTTGTAATTTTGTGTTATAATTGCCGTGTATTATTTTAATTTGAATACATTTGGCTCTGTAAATTTTATATCGGTTTTCGTGGAAAAAAAATATGTGCTATCAGCTGATTTTGCTCAGATTCTTCAAGAATTAACTGTTGAAGAAAAGGAAGACATGGAAACCTTTGGATGGGAGAACAATATAGATTTCCATTCCTTATTTTCTTTTATTTCTATTTTTTAGAAATAAATAAAAACACTAAAGTTACTTTAAAGTTTCTGATTTACGAATACCAATGAAAAACATTTTCCTTCATAAAATTTAGTTTCTTATTATATATACAGTTCTTTATCTTTTGAAGATTTTCAATGATATATTGTTAAATAGAGTAAATTTTATGTAAGTGCTGCTCATTAATATTAAAATACTGTCCTATAAGATTAAAAAAAATGTGTTTTTTTGATAACAAAGACAATAATATGATTTTGACATAAGAGAAGAAATAGTTCTTATTTCTTAAATGGTAAATGTAAAAAACTGGATTATTAAACTAAGATACACAGTACAAAGTCTTTAATCCGGAATGGATGTCCATAATCCGGAATGATCTATAATCCGGACCTCAAAGCTACAAATTTTCTGCGCATGCGTCAACGCATAATGTGTTAACGCATGTGCATAATACTTTACGCATGCGCATATGCATCTACGCATGCATGTAACACGTTTACGCATGCACATTTAATGTATAACGGACGGTATAAGCTAAGCTAAAATTATCTAACTGTCTATTTGAGTTAATGTTGCAGATTGCTTTGTTCCTTAACCTTCTAACTGAATCCGGCTTATTATTTTTTGCAGACTGTTAGAGCAATTTTGTAAAAGTAAGCTTGAACTTTTGATTATGTCAAAAAGAATTTCCGATTCTGGAGCTACCAAAGGATCTACAAAGCGAAAGCATGTTTCGATGTCCATCAAACAAAAAATGGAATTGCTGCAAAAAACGGAGAAATGCATATCTTTTGATTCTCTAATCATTCCGAAATATGTTTATCAATTTTACGCTGCTCTGCGGAAGGGGGGAAACAACGCGGCACGGCACGCAATGAACTGGAAGTTGATCTGTCAGCACTATCCTTATCTTCAGAGCAGATGTTTTTATTTTATTCGGCTTATAATTCCTTACTAAATGTAGTATTTCATCTCGATGTACTCCCTCTTTGATATGATTTAAATGAAATTATCATCATTATAAATATCGCGAATACAGATCAAATAGTTTTCTGGTTGCAATTTTCTAATTTCGACTATGTGTAATGTATGCTTTACGCATGAGCACATTGAAAGAAATGTTTAATAAAGTAAACAAATAAATATTAAGCTCTTTTTTTTTTTTTTTTTTTTTTTTTTTTTTGTAAATTTTGATACCCTTTAGATCATAAATGCTCTTTATTTCATAAATTACGGTTTCATATTTTTAATTTTATAATTTCTGCATGCCATCTTACCAGATTTAAAGTGATGATCTATAATCTTGAAAAACCGATAATCTGGAATCGCCGAAGTCCCGATGAGTCCGGATTAAAGACTTTTGACTGTATTTCTTTCATATCAAGATTACGCTTTTGTAAGCAAGAATGTGTTCAGTGTGAGTTTTTTTTTTTTTTTTTTTTTTTAAATAAAAGATATTGCTTTTATCAAGTAATAGCTTTTATTTTCAGATTTCGGGTACTGCAGGCCTTGACCCATTAGGGCTGTTATGCCACTGAGTTTAGTTTATTACTTTTATCAGCTATGTCACTTCAACATCACCAATCTCCATGACTGTATAAAATAGTCGTAATTATTATTTTGCATACTCCTTTATGACACATAATTTAGGGTATCTCAAACCTCCCCCTCTAGTATCCTTGCATATGTCCAATATCATTATTTTAATATCTTAAAAGTAATAAACTGCAATGAATAAAAATCAGGAAATATAAGTTGTTCTTTTTTTTTTGTAGGGAATCATAATTTTTGAGGCTTTCTTAATCTTCATTGAAAGGGTTTGAAATCTAATTATCCTTCTCATTTCATCAATCATTACTTGTCTAGATCCATGTCTTCCATGGAACCCTTTTAAGTGGATGATTATGTTCTCTATAGCTTTGTTTGAAACTTGAAACTCATACATTTGACTGGAGTCTATAAAATTTTTCAAATAATTCAATCTGAGTTTTTTCAATAGATTATTTAAAAAAATTTGGGTTTTTGGGGAGCATCAAATAATTTTTATCAGATACTTTGAAAACATTTGTGAAACTGTTTGACAGTCCTAAACTGTTATTTATTTGTTTATTTTGAAAAATATTGGATAGTTATGCAAGTCTTGAAGCCATTCATCATTGTATTAACTGAAATATGTGGTCTCCAAAAGTGTGTTTGGAACATACACCGAAGCAGGGCTATTATCCACCAGCAGTTTCTGTTCTGCTCAAAGATCTAGTTTTTAACTACTTATCTAATTTTACATAAACAATACTTTAAAGCTAACATTTTTAAAAAAACAAGAATTTAAAACAAAAACTACACTCAAACTGATTTGCACATCACGATTTAAAGAAAGAGATCTGTATAACTGACTTGATGATTAACTCAGCACTGAAAACATTACTAGCTGCCAACAATCACCATATTTTGATAGAGCAGGAAAGGTAACAGCTAGATACGATGCCTAAGGGAACAGCTTTCATTGTTTTTGAGCATGTTTTATTTAGTAACAGTCACATCAGAAGTAATCAGAATTGCTTTGTTTTTTATTCAATGCCAAGCTGATACTTTTTTTTAATATTTTATTTTTTATCAGCATTTATTAAAACACTGGGCTGTTTTTCACTATTGCTGATAATTTTTTCATGCAGCCATGATTAAGCCATCACTATCCCCAGGGGTATGCATACCAAAGATTAGGAATTTCTGTTTTAGAAGAATTAGGTAGTGGAGGCTATTAGGCTTCTCAAACCAGAAAACAGGAAAAGTCAGTATTGCTCTTGTTTTAAACTCAAAACTTCCTGATTGCTAGCCAAATGGCCATCTAATTACATTACAAAGACATACTGAGGAAGGAGAAAATTCCTTACATTCTCCCTCATTTAATTAGTGAACGGGGAGAAGGAGGACTCAGCCACTCAGATCCAAGTAGGGATGTATTATCATCCACCACATTATAACTGGATGCCACTGTAATCTTTTAGGCTATTTGAAGCAGGAAAAACCTGCAATACTTCCACTGGAATTTAAACTCCATATCTACAAATGCTAGCTACATCTGCTTCCAATTACACCACAAAGGCACATAGTGACAAAGAAGAAAATTGCTTTTGAGGTGACCAGGATATAGATTTTTTTCATTATTCCTTATTCTAATTTTATGAGAATTTTAAAGAAGTATTTTAAACTCATCATGTCAAAGATTTATCTTGATAAATAAACTTATTCAATCCACACATATTTGATAAAATTTTCTGTGTTTTGTTTGTTAAAGGCTAGGAGCTGATCATGGCTTGTGGTGTTCATTCTTGTTACCGTTGTGCCTTCTTCCATACGCAATTACCCCTAATTCTGGTGAGATATATTTTTAGTATCATTATTATTACTGATTTTCTTAAACAAATATGTTTGTTTTAATTTTTATTAAAATCTATGAAATTCATATAAAAATAAACCTTTTTTAAGTATTAAAATCTATACTTTTCTTAATTTTGCTTAAAAGCTTTGGAGATGTTTTCTTCCTTTTTGTTTTTAAATTTTTTTTTTGTCAGCTATCAAATTTAAATATCAGTAGGTACATTTAAATTGTGATATTAATAGCAAATGCACAAAACAACATTAATGCCTAGTTAAAATTTGATTCAATTATCTGATGGGTACTCTTCTGTTATGAGGACCAGATTCAGAAATGTATGTATGTACATATATGTGTGTGTATACACATACATATGTACACTGCGAAAAAAAAAAGGAACAGTTCTATATCTCCTGTTCTACTGGGCTGATTGACAAAATTCAAGTTGCGTTTTTCATGTCTCGAAAGCACGACTTAGGATATGTATTAGATTTATGGATATGTATTACCAAGAATGGCATGAGTAGTTTTTAAAAAATTAGCTCTCAAAATTTTAGCTCCTCAATTTTTTTTTTTTTTTTTAGCTTGGTATATATTTATTAATTTCTCTTTTTTTTTTATTAAACATTTTTGATTCTTCCTTTCACATTTCGAAATTAGGTTCTTTCCGGATAAAATTCACCCATATTTTATGATTTATTTTTAAATTTTGTATTTTTAAATAATTTATAATTTTTTCAAAAATAATTTTGAATTATAATCTATAAAATTTTTACCATCATCTTAAAGTAGACGTATTTCTAAGCATACCTGCAAAAAATTACAATTTTTTATTCAAAATATCCGAAGATATACATGAATTTATATATTGGCGAGTTTTGAAATTTGGCATATTTGTTGAAAGCGATAAAACATCAGATGTGGTTTAAACACTTTGCTAAAATTATTTGGAAGTAGAAAGGATGTGACATTTTTTACACTCATACACAATGTAAAAAGGTTCCGGATGAGGTGCCTTTATTTCCTGCTCTGGCATAACAGAATGAAAAGGAAAATTGGTGTCCATAATATTAAGAAGTTTGCTAAGTGAATTATTCTTGGCCAAACTGAAAAAAAAAATGTGCCAAAATAAATTTTTGAATTTCTCCGTAAATTTGGCACCAAATTCTACAATATTTAATACTAGGCATAATTTGAGTCGTAGAATTGAAATATGGGAAAAAAATGTTATTCAGAAATTATCCGATGTTATTTTGGTATGTTATTTCAGAAAATGTCCGATTTTTGTGTGAAAATACCTATGGTAGAACAATGCTATATATAAATCTAATATATATCCTAAGTCTCGCTTTCAAGACATGAAAAATGCAATTTGAATTTTGTCAGTTGGCCGAGTAGAATGGGGATATAGGTCTGTCCCCCTTTTTTTCTCAGTGTACGTACATATTCTTATACTTAGATTTATACATGTATACATGAACACATACTCCCATACACACATTTCCTGAATCCAGTCCCGAAACCAGAATAGTTCTTTTTTGTGCTTTGGAAATATTCATGAGCTCTATTTATATATAAAATAAAATTTACAATTAAAGTGCTAGGTGTTGTATCTTTAGGTCAGTAGTAGTTAGGTATTAGAACGTTTTTAGAGAATAAAACTGAAAATACCTAAAAAGTTAAAAAAGATAGAAATAGTCTAACCATTTTCATCCATTTAATTCTCTCAGCTGTTTGAAAAAAATAATAATCTAAATTTGAAAGCTTTTAGGTGATCTTGAAATATTATTAGTTTTGTTATAAATTTTGTAAATATTTGTGTTTGTTTGTAATTTAGCTTTTATGTATTTTTAGTTGTATGAACTCTTTCTATATACTCATTAGTGCATTTTAGGTAATAATTTTATGGTGTATTTTAGTTTAATTCAAATTTATGGCCTTTATAATATGTATAAAATATTTATTTCATGTACACTGCGCCAAAAAAAAAGGGGGGGACAGTTCTATATCTCTCGTTCTACTGGGCCAATTGACGAAATTCAAATCGCATTCTTTATGTCTCGAAAGCGCGACTTAGGATAAATATTAGATTTATATATAGCACTATTCTAAAAGAGTTATTTTGATGCAAAATCAGACTTTTTCTGAAATAACATACCAACTTTTTTACATATTTCGATTCTACGACTCAAATTATGCCAAATGCCAAATTTTGTAAAAATCACATGAGAAGTTTTTAAAAGTTTAGCTGTCAAAATTTTAGCTCCTCAATGTTAATTGAATTTGGTATATATTTATTAATATCTCTTTTTTATGAAACATTTTTGATTCTTCCTTTTGTATTTCGAAATTTCAGTTTATTCCAAATAAAATTTACTCATTTTTTATGATTTATTTTTAAAATTTGTATTTTTAAATAATTTTTATAAATTTTTTGAAAAAAATTTTCAATTATAACCTATAAAATTTTTACTATCATCTTAAAGTAAGCAAAAAATTAGAGTTTTTTTATTCAAAATTTTCTCTAAGTCTACACGAATTTACATATTTTTGCATTTTGAAATTTGGCATCTTCTTCCTCCTCTTTTTTTTTTTTTTTTTTTTTTTTTTTTTTTTAGTGATAATAAAGCCAAATGTGGTTTATGGATTTTGTTAAAGTGAGTTGCCACAACTATTTTTAACCTTAAGTTTCAAAGTTTGAACTTTTTTCCTCAATAGTGTGTAATAAATATTTATTAATACTATATGAAAAGCTTTTTTTTTTTAAATTATCGATGACATTATTCAAATTTTTAACTTTTTTATTAAATTTCTTTCTTTCTCTTCTACTTTTTTTTTTTTTTTTTTTTTTAACATATATATTTGTAAGAGTAAATTTTTACCTTCGGTGTGTTATCATCTGCTACTTTACTTCATTTAAATGTAATTGTCTAAAACTGAGAAAGTTCGTTTGATGTTTAGTTTATTTTCACAATGTTTTTAAGCAAACAGGACGTTGAAAGTTTGGGTTATGTACCAGCTTTAAAAAAAAAATATATATATATAAATACAAATTTTTACATTAATTCTCTTAAAGAATATTTTAAGTAGTAATTTTCTCTCATTTTTGTAGATTATATAAAAAACATGTTCTTTAATATAGAAATTATAAGGCTTAAAAACTCTAAATAGTAACTTAATTTTTATATCGGGTGTTTGCACCCGATATAAAAATTGGGCCACTCCGTGGTACAGAATAAATGCTGCTGGAGTGGTTTATTAAAATGACCAATTGGATGTCCATAGCCAGGGATAGAAGAGCTTGGAATTCGATTCTGAAGAAGGCAAGGGCCCATCCTGGGCTGTCTGGCCATTGAAGAAGAAGAAGAGTGGTTTATTTCTTTCTCATTTAACAAAAATCTCTTAATTCAAATATTTATTCTTTGGACTTTGCTTAAAACTTTATTTATAGTTAAAATGTCTAGAAAATGAAAAGCTATATTCAGCTGCGCATTTGATCCAACAAATATTTAAAAAAATTTGACAAGAATTCAAAAATGATGGAAGTGTAACAATCAAAAAATCTTAATTTTCTTGTATCAGCACTGAAAACAAATGTAGAAGTAAAGAAGTAAATTAGAGAGGGGAAAAGCAAAAATTTAAAGGGGAATCTACTTCAAAGAAGTTGGGTATTCAGAGAGAAAACACTTCACCGTGCACACCGGCAAATAGCAGCAATTGAGTTAGTACTAACAGAAAAGACAAAAACCATATCATTGCAGATTAAATTGAAGAGCGACTGATTTTCAAAAATTTAAATTACATCATAGAGCATCATGTCGTATCATAAATGGAACATTCCATGATTTCCTCAGTCAAATTATTTGAAGATTCAGGAATTTATCCAGTGATGTTATAAAGTATTACTTCAGCCTTGTTAGCGTGCCTTCGTGGTGTAGTGGTCTACACGCTCAGTGCCTATTCGAGAGGTCCGTGGTTCAATTCCCAGAGAGGGCGTTGTTTATTTTTCATTTCGCCCGCTTCTAAAAAACATACCTAATGTCTCTACAGTGGCGCCTGAACTAAAATGTGGTGAATGATGATTCTTCACCACCAGGATTTGGCGACTGGGTCCTCCAATCCCCAGTCACCCTTTAAAAGGGGGAAGTATATAAGGTATTTCTCTCACCTTCTTAGCATGCTTTCGCGGTGTAATGATCTGCATGCTCTGCATGTATTCGAAAGGTTCGTGGTGAGGGCATTGCACATTTTTCAAGTCTCCTGCTTCCAAAAAATCCTAATGTCTCTAAAACGTATATGGATATCATCTAAAGACATTTTCCATCTTGATGAAACCAGTCTTTTCTTTCATCTCATGCCTTCAAAATGCTTAGCTTCTAAAGACTGAGAACGGCTTTGACTATATACTGATGAAATGGATTGAATTGGATTATTAAATTATGGCAAAGCAAGGCTATCTGTCTTTAAAGAAAGGATGCCTTCGTGAAGAACTTTCTAAGGGAAACCAACTAGCATATACGTTACACATGAGAAAAACCAGGAAAACGCCCATGAACCACTTTGCCGGGATTCAAACCTTGAAGCAAACTCTACTAATGTTCAATGACTTTACCACTCAACTGTTTGTGGGCCTTTATGAAATGGAAGGTGATAACTTTATTTAAAATGAATGTCAGAAATACCAAGATGTTTTGAAAAAGTTGGATGCTTTTTAATATACTTGCAGATTGCCTGAAGAAAAAGAGCAAGTCATTAAGAAGAAAAAAAAAATTTTGAATAAAATTTAGTAATTTTTTAAATTAGAACTTTTTTGATCTTATATTTGATTCTTGCGGTTTCAAAAATAAAATATTTGACTAAAACATGAATAACATTTTAAGAAACTAAATGTAGGATGATAGAAATTGTGTAAAGCAATGGGCACAATGATAAAACTGTTTAAAGCAATGTATGCAAGTCATCCTAAATTAAATATCAGATATACATCTCTTTTATTTAT